GCATTATATAATAAAACAGTTTTGCAGAAAGAATCCATGGGTGTAATCTTCCATGGGTTAATTGGGAGTCTCTTTATGTCAGCTTTATACAAGAATAAGCACTTGGCTGATAAAGAATTCGGGGGTAAAACTCTTTGACCTCAAAAACTCTTTGACCTCAAAAACTCTAAGGACTAACTCATTTTGGTATTGAAGGATGCTGTGAATAAGTCACTGGACATCATCAAATTTTGCCTTTGTGAATGAATCTCATTTTCTTCCTGGTGTTTATAGGACTAGTTAACTTGAAGTACAGGAGTTGTAATAGAAAATTGCTTAGTTTTTTATCATTATCTTTTAAAATTTCCTGGGACATGATAAGTCTTCTTGATCTATGTGTTAATGTCTTTCATTTCAGGGAAATTTCTTCTTCTATTAAATATTTTAATATTCTCTCCTACATTTAATCTATTTTCTATTTCAACTATTCACTTAACCAGAATTTGCTTCAGTGTTGTCTCCATATCAAATTATCCAAAAATATGGTGCAGTATTTCAAACTGCAAATTCTATTTTTTCTATACTTTATGGTAAATCTTTAAGTTATTTCATAGAGCTTATATTCACTAATTTCATTGAAAATGTTCAGTATTGTTATGTAAATTTTTTTCCTCTGTTAAGAAGTAGGAAGACTAACTTTCCTTGGAAATAAATTCCTAAACAATTGTTTGCATGTTTCTTTTTCTCTCTTTATGAATTTTTGTATGGGCTCCTCTGCTTGTGTTTAGCTTACCAATCTTTAACTGGTGTTTCTTCGACCCAGACCTATATGATTTGTACAAAATTGCATGAGTAGAACCTTGATTTCTCTCCCACTTTACCCTAAGAACATGACCCACCATCATCTGAACTCTAGATCATGGTGACATCTTTCTTCCCTACCCCCCTCAGAGTCATTCTCCAAATTGCAGGAATGAACTTTCTTCCATGCAAATGTGATCTAGTAAAGCACTTACTTAAAGCCCTTGAGTGCTTGCCATCGCCTCTTGATAAGGTCTCCACTCCCTCACCAATGTCCCCACTGAACCCCTCCAGTCTCATCTTGCAACACTTGTGCTGTGCTCCATACTGTAGTCATATGCACTTCATCCAGGTCTACTCATGTAAGATGCTCTTTCCTCCCTCCGGGCACTTGTCCAAGCAGTTCCAGCAACTCAAACACAATGCCCTCCCCATGCCACTCCTAGCCCTTAGGGTGGCCAACTTATTCCTTCTTATCTCAGCTCGTCCTAGACGTTTGGTCCTACAAAGTTAATGCTCTCCTTAATTTCTCTAGAAAGTCTCCATTGACCCTCCCAGTCTGGATGTCTCCCTCCCCAGTGTTTCTATGGTACTTTGGACACAGTTAACACCAGTACTGTAACTGTTTGTCTCCTTACTAGGCTGCATAGTTGTTGAGGAAGGGATCTTGTCTGCCCATGGCGCCCATGGTGTCTTCTGTACAGGGAATGCTGCCTAGCACGTTGCAGGTGTTTCGCTAAATATTTGTAGAACTTCAAATATGTTCTTACTTCTTTTGTGCTCTTCACTTTTTTGAGTTTAGATCTTTTGGTGTATATAAAATATATATCATTACTTTTAACGTATCCATTGTTTTAGAAGGCGTATAGCCTGTTTTTAATTCTAAGAGTGGTAACCATTACGTTTTAGCAAAGCACTCCTTTACGTATGTTTTAAACATTATTTGTATTGTCTTGTCCTCCATTCATTTATTTGTTAAGCACCCACTGTTATGAACCAGACTGGGGTTTGACACAGGCCACGCAAAAGCAGGGTCTCTCAAGGGCGGCAAACTTTGTGGCTGACACAGTGCTACCGGGAGACTGTGGCGAGGCCAAGCCTACCAAAGAGATCCCTGAGCTTGTGGGAGCCTTGGGTGGAGGGAAGTCCAGCACTTTACTGACTGGTTCCAATCCTTCCTTTCTTCTTTCAAATACTTATTACAAACCGACCCTGTAACCAAACCTCCCCAAGGCTCTGCGCTCCTTGCAGCAGGGCGTGGATTAACGGACCCCTCCCTTTACCACAGTGGACTGTGGCCTCCTGAGCCCCTACCCTCATTCCGCCACCACCTTCAACTCACCACTGCCTAATTGGGCACTCACCTCCATCACTGGCATCCCTGGCACACTCACACATTATTGTCTAGGGAGTTCTCGGCAGGGAGGTGCCAGCATCCTTGGCCAGAATGCAGACCCCCTCAGACAGAGGCAGATGCCCAGAGACACCAGCCAGGACTCGGACACACAACTCAAACTCAGCCTGGCAAAAGGGAACTTTATTGAGAGACTACTGGGCGATTTCACAAAATCACAGGAATTGTTGAATTGCAAAACAGGGAAGGGTTGGGACATGATGGGCTTAAAGACAACTAAACTGATCTGTCCCTCATCCATGCCACTTTTCTTCATTGACTTCATTCTCTTCCCTCGAATCAAACCCCTGCCCCTGGGAGAAAGGGGCTGTTGACAACATCCGGATCTAGTATTTTATATCTTTCCCTACTAGAGAGGAGCTGCTCCCTTCCTTAGGCCTGGGAACCGGATCTGACTCATGCATCCTGGGTCAGAGATCCAGACCTCGACCAAACAACAGTGCCCAGAGGGAATAGCCCTGCCTGGCCAAGTGGCTATCCCTGGAACAATCCTGGGGGATAAGGAAGTGGGATCACGTGAGAATACGGCAGCAGATACCAAAGGACCAGAGCTTTAGGGGAACGATTCCTAGAAAGAGAGGACTGACACACAGAGGGACAGGCACCCACTACAAGGTAGCAACACACACACAAGACAGAGAGAGAAACAGGGATCAATTTTTACATATATTATAGCAAATCCTCAGAGCAAACCTGAAAGGAGGGGATGACCAAATGCATTGCACAGCTCAAAAACTGGGGCTCAGAGAAGTGAAATGCCCTGTACATGGCCACATATCAGTGAGTGGTGGAGCCAGGATTCTGCCCTAGGTCAGTCTGCCTCCAAAGTCCTTGCTGTTTGCTCTGAGACACTCGCAAGACAATGGGAGGCAAGGAGATGGAAATCCTTCAGAGCAGGAGTGAGAGACCCAGATGCTGCAAGAGTAGGGCCTGAGTGAGACACAAGGGGCAGGACATGGAGGGACAGACCCAGGAGACACAGCACTTGTGCCAGATGCAAGACAGAGAGCTGGAGCCTGAGAGAGCCGAGGGACCAGCTCGCCAGGGCAGAGTAGATGGAGCAGGTGTCACAGATTGAACTGTGTCCCCCAAACATATCTGTCAACTTGGTTAGGCCATGATTCCCAGTATTGTGTGGTTGCCCTCCATTTTGTGATTGATATAATTTTCCTATGTGTTGTAAATCCTAATCTCTTCCTGTGGTTAATGAGGCAAGATTAGATTACATTAAAGAGGATTAGGGTGGTATATAACACCCTTACTCAGATCACATCCCTGATCCAATGTAAAGAGAGTTTCCCTGCAGTGTGGCCTGCATCACCTTTTATTTTACAAGAGGTAAAAGGAAAGGGAAGCGAGCAGAGAGTGGGGACCTCATACCACAAAGAAACCAGCGTCAGGAGAGAGCATGTCCTTTGGACCTGGGGTTCCTGTGCAGAGAAGCTCCTAGACCAAGGGGGGATTGATGACAAGGACTCTCCTCCAGAGGCGACAGAGAGAGAAAGCCTTCCCCTGGAGCTGATGCCCTGAACTTGGACTTCTACCCTACTAGACTGTCAGAGAATAAATTTCTCTTTGTTAAAGCCATCCACTTGTGGTATTTCTGTTATAGCAGCACTAGATAACTAAGACAACAGGGCTAGGGCATAGGGCTTCTGAGCTTGCAGACTTGGTGGGTGAATAACCCAAGACCCCAGACCCCTCCCTCTCTGGAGTGTCCAGACGGGCAGAGGGCCAGCCTAACCTTGACCTCTTAATCGCCCCTTTATCATCACCTGGGCTGCAATCCCACTGCAGGCTTTCACAGGGAGGGACCACCAGGAGCCAGCGCTGTCTGAGCTAACCTTATTGAGGGTTTGCTTGGGGAGAGGGTGAGGGAGACAAAGCCCACGCCTCCTCAGCTCCTGGGTCTGCAATACTCTAGGGTCTGGCATTTGCCTGAGGGTTCGGGCTAATATCAGAACACCTTCTCTTTTCATCCCCACCCCTGTGGAGCCTCCCACACTGGCCAGGTCTGGGCAAGGAAGAGTCCAGCCTCCATTTAAGGTTGGAGGGCAAGGGACAGATGGAGTTTGAGGTAAGAATGAGGACTTGACCTGCGCTCTCTAACAGCTTCCAATTTGGGTCTCAGATTCTGATTTAGAGGCTGAGTATAAGGATATGGCCCCAGCTGGGCAGCATCACAGGGCTCGGGGTGTGTGGGCTCCTCTTAACCATTGGTGGAGGATGGGGGAACAAGGCCCAAAGAACTAAACCCAGGTGAGTAAATTCCTGACAAATGTGTTTCCTGTACTATCACCACTACCACCACCCCAGGCTTCTATTTTACCAACCATGTGGTGGGGTGGGGGTGGGGAGCCATTTACACAGACCACATGTGAATGAGGCTCTCTGGAATTGGCCAACATGGTGGCCCTGCACCCTCAACGCTCCTGCCTATGGCAGACAAAAAAACCTAAACCCATTGCTGTCGAGTGGATTCCAACCCACAGTGACCCTACAGATCAGAGTAGAACTGCCCCATAGGGTTTCCAAGGCTGTAAATCTTTCTGGAAGCAGACTGCCGCATCTTTCTCCCACGGAGTGGCTGGTGGGTTCTATCTGTCAACCTTTTGGTTATCAGCCGAGTGCTTAACCACATTGCTAATCAATCACAGCTACTGCTCAGTCTGCACAAAGGGTTCAGAATGCTCCACCCAGAGTCTCAGACAACCCCTGCTGATTCCTCAAAGCTGCCATCATTTGCCTTCATTTTCCCAGACTTCCTGGACCTTGTTAGACAGAGAGAGGCTGGAGGAAGACCATTTCACTCCTTTATTGGGAGGAGAAGACGCTCTGTCATAATGCAAGGCCCTGAGCCCAGAAAGAACTCCAGTTTGAGATGCACTTGGTTGGCTATGACTCTGTAGTGGCCCTTGATGGAACCCCGGGAAGCACAGGAGTAACACCGCCAGTAGGCCTGGATGATGCGGGCAGCTTTGAGCACATGACAGTAGCGCCTGCGGATGCGCCACATGCGGACCCAGGACTGCAGCCTGACTGCCGCCCACTCCTTCCGTGTAAAGCTCTCCAGCGCAGCCTGCCGCCTCTTCTCCAGAAGCCTTGCCAGCATCAGCCGCCACCAGCACTGAATGACCCAGGCCCTGAGGGCTGCATGCAGCAGCGTTCGGCGCACCAGTGTCCCACGCCACCAGGCCTGGATCTTTATAGCTTCCAGAACATTGCTGGGGGACTTCTTTTGGTTTTCTGGGGGCTTGCAAGAAAAAACAGGGGACACTCAAGGAATGTTCTCCACCCACTTCAGTCCCACGGTGTGCCAGGAAAGGGTTCTGGTCCTCTATCAATAATTGCCCCTTCCTCTGAAATTCAGGAGCACTGGCAGGGCACTGACTGGAGCCAGAAGACCAGGCAGATGTCCTGCTTCTTCTACTCACTGGTTAATGGTCAGAGGTATATCACCTTACCCCAAGTCTCAGTGTCCCCATATGTAGAATGGGAGTACACTGGCCCCAGCTACCCAGTTTATATGGATTAGGTTGGCCAGCCTAGGGCAAGGCCACCATGATCTATAGGTCAAAGGGTTACCATGTTCCTCCTGAGCTTGCCCACCTAACCAGTATCCATGTCCCATCCCTTCAGACCCCACCCACCTGCTAGAGAAGTGGCATCCTTCATTCCCAATGCCCTCTCATCCTTGACTCCAAGTAAAATCCACAACCTGCTCTCTCCCACATCAAGGTATTAAAAGTTTCCCCATCCCAGAAAGTTTGACCTCTTTATCTCTTCCTCATCTTCACTTTTCTTGACTTTTACACTTTAAATCTTAATTAACAAGAAAATATATATGCACAAGCTGAAACACACACACATGCACACACAGATAGTTCTAACTAAGCTCAGTTTCCCACATCTTGCCCTTTCCATTCCAGAACCACAACCCCCACCTCCCCATCCCCAGCCCTGTGTGGTCTGGGGCTCATACTTTTCTGGTTGTCTTCTCATTATCACCGACTCTCTGTGTCTCAGCCAGACTCACATTTTTATCCTGAAAAAGAAATGGGGGAAGAGGACAGACAAGAATGAGTTGACCCCTGTTCTTAGCGCTGGACCATGCAAAAGACTCTAGCCACAAGCAATAGGACACAAGGATCAGCAACATCCCAGCCAAGGCTCCTCTTACCTTCACCTTCGTCATGTAGGTCAATGGTGCTGAGGATTGACCAGTCAACGTCCTTGCCTGCTGAGGCACAGCATTATCAGTGTGTTTAGCAATTTTTGCAGGCTGGTTCTCCCCCTGTAATCAGCATGAGAAAGGCTCAGGCACTGCTCTCCCTCTGTCTCTATTTAGTATCCCACACATCCCAAGCTTCCAGCTCTCCCCAGAGTCTTCAGATGTCAGGGAAGTCCCCTCATCCTGAGAGATCTATGGAGCTATCCTTAACAAGCCTGTTGTATCTAGCTCTCTCTTACTCACCATTGGTCACACATGGATTGGGTGTAGATGGTTCAAATCCCCTTAAGTCTGTGTTCATCTAGCCATGACATGGGCAGAAAGGGTGGAGGAGGGAAGGCCTATGATGTCATAAGGGCAGCTATGACTCAGGCACCAGGAAGAATCCGGACAGTTGAGCTCTCTCCAGGGAAAAGACGAAAATGTTGCCCATACTTTTCTGCCAGAAATGGGCAAAGCCCTGGCTACAAAGGTAAGACATCAAAAATACTGACCCATTGGTGCAAAGGTATATCAAGATAGCCAGTCATAGATGGTGCCCGGCTACCACCAATGAACGTCCTGACAGGGAACACAACAGAGGGTCCCTGATAGAGCAGTAGAACAATGGGATGCAGAACTCAAATTCTAGTAAGAAGACCAGAGACTGGAGGCACCCTGGAAAGCACAGCCCCTGGACTCTCTATCACCCCAGAACTAAAATAATTTCTGAGGCCAACTCTTCAGACAGGGATTGGACTGGACTGTGGGACATAAAGTGATACTTGTGAAGAATGTGCCTCTTAGTCAAGTAGCTACAAGAGACCAAAGGGGCGGCTTCTGTCCAGAGGTGCGATGGGAAGGCAGAGAGAGTTAGGAGCTGGTTGAATGTTCATGGGGAATCAGGGGCGGAGGGGAGGAGTGTGCTGTTGCAGAATGGGGTGAGTGGTTGGGGTCTCATACTTATCAGTAATCACAATGAATGTAAGTGGCTTAAATGCACCCATAAAGAGACAGAGAGTGAGAGAATGGATTAAAAAACAGGACCCATCAATATGCTGTCTACAAAAGACACACCTTAGAAACAAAGTTGTAAATTTATTAAAAATCAAAGGATGGAAAAAAATATATATCAAGCAAACAGCTACCAAAAAAGAGCAGAAGTAGTAATACTGATCTCAAATAAAATAGACTTTAAAACAAAATTCACCATAAAAGACAAAGAAAGGCATTATATAATGATTAAAGGGATAATCCACCATGAAGACATAACCATAATAAATATCTATGTAATATGTATGTAAAAAAAAAATCTGTATGGGAGACTAACTTGAAATGTAAACTTCATTTAACTACAACAATAAAAAAAAAGATAGCCTGTCATTATTAATAGCATAAAATTACAAAAACTTAAATATCCATCAATAGGGGAATGAATTAAATGGTTTGCAGTCCATTCATGCTATAGAATACTGCGTAATTATTAAAAGTAATGAGCGAGTTGTGTGTACTGATAAGGACATATATCCAACATGTATTTATAGGTTAAACACTTGAAGATAACTGATCCTATCTATATAAACAAATTTATCTAGGTATATAATTATACACTTGAACTGTAAATGCATATAAAGGAGCAGAAAAAGTCTATACCCAAACTATTATCAATGATTACCTTTAGCGAGAAGATTTCAATTGTTGACCCGTGACTGACTCATCCACAGAGTGCCTGGGGAACCCCATGAAGTCTTAAGGACAAGTCTGGGCCCATATTTCTGATTAAAATGGCCTTAACTGCTCTCCGGTATTCCTCTGCCCTTGAAGGCCTCAAGGCCAGAGTTAGGAGATGGGTGAAGAGTGACCAATGTAGAGCAGGGCCCTACCTTGATCTGCTCCTGGCCTCAGAGACTCACTCAGAGCCACAAAGTCAAGGCTGAGTAGATAGGCCTCTGGCCAAGGTCCAGTGATAAACATAAGCCCCAGGCGTCACTGAGAAGTGCATTTAGAATATGTAGGGTGAGTAGAAGGAGGCCTGGTGGTGTAATGGTTAAGCGCTCAGCTGTTAACCAAAAGGTTGATGTTTCAAACCCACCCAGCGGCTCTGTAGGAGAAAAACCTGGCAATCTACTCCCCTAAAGATTACAGCCTAGGAAACTCTATAGGGCAGTTCTACTCTGTCACATGGGGTTGCTATGAGTTGGAATCAATCCAACAGCACCAAACAACAACACAAACAGAGGTGAGTAAGGGGGAGGCTTGTGTAGGACTGCGGGAAATGTAGGGAAGAAGAGAAGACTATCTGAGGCTGAGGGATGTCAGTGTGAAGTTAATGGGTGAAGGGGTAGGGAAGTCAGGGTTACACTTAAGGATGTGGGAACTTGTAGGGTGGAGTGTGACTGAGAAGGAGCTGTATCAGTCAGTTTGAGAATGATAATGTTGTACAGGACTTTGTTATAATACTAATCAGTTTTTGACTCCACATACAATCATAAAAGCCTTGTCTGGAAAGATAATCTCCATTTTCCTCACAGCCTAAATGGTAGGCATCAGCTTATTGAGAGATAAGAGGAAGACAAAGAATTAAATCCAAAATCTAATTACTGATCAGAACATGTGGGAGTAATGCACATCCTGTGAAGACCAAGAAGCCCTGGTAGTATCAAGAGACGAAACAAGATAGTATAAAAAGGCAGGTCAAGGCAAGGAAGAGCTTCCCTCCAGAGCAACCAGAAAGGACAAAGGATGCCACTTCATGAGAATGGCAGAGTTTCACTTCCAGTTAGGATGCAGAGGGTCACAAAAGGCTATTGCTCCCATGTTAACTACAACAATAATAAAACACTGAATAAACCACAAACATATTTTTCTTTAAAGTCATCAAAAAACTTTGGCTAAGGGGAGAAGTCTAAACAAACCAAATTCCAGAATGGAACTGTTCTTTTCTAGTTGTGCAGAGATTGGTGGCTGCTTGCTGCTTTCATGCTTGTGGATATTTATCAAGTCTCTGGACAGAGGGTCATGGAGAAGTGAGCCTGCCATATGCAGAGGAATGTTTCTGGATGAGGAGAAACCAGCTGAGTTTTCAATAGTTGCATGTGAGCTGCTGGGCTGACTGGAATCTGGAAAATCCTCACACACAGAGTGAGCCCTCTAAACTCACCGTTCTCCCTCATCGGACTTCTGCTGGTTCAGGAGCAGCACAGGAAGCCAGAGCCTGGGTTGGACAACAGAGAGAGATCTTAAGTCACACAGTGCTGAGAGTCCACAGAACTGCTGGAGAAAGGGGTCTGATCCCACCCTCAAGACATTTAAAACCAAGGTGAATGAAACTGAAGTGGCAACCCAGTCCCAACCCAACTGAACTGACTAGTTGAAAAATCACCTGTATCAGTAGCTACTGCTTTTATCCACAATGCTTGACATACATTTTTTTTTAATGAAACCTATGAAGAGGCAAGAAAATGTGACCTGTAATCAAAAGAAAAATACTCAATAGAAGCAGACCCACAGCTGATTCATATGTTAGAAATAGCAATCAATCAGGGAACATCTATGTCAACTGGCACAACATCATTCATAAAGACAATGTTCTGCATCCTACTTTGGTAAGTAGCATCTGGGGCTTTAAAAGCTTGTGAGTGGCCATCCAAGATACAACTATTGGTCTCTTCCTGTTCAGAGCAAAGGAGAGTGAAGAAAACAAAGAGTCAAGGGAGCAATTAGTCCAAAGGACTAATGGACCACATGAACCACAGCCTACATGACCTGAGACCAGAAGAATTAGATGATGCCAGGCCACCACTACCAACTGCTCTGACTGGGATCACAACAGACAGTCCAGGAGAGAGCAGGAGAAAAATACAGAACAAAAAATCAAATTCACAAAGAAGACCAGACTTACTGGTCTGACAGAGACTAGAGGAACCCCTGATATTATGGCCTTAAGACACCCTTCTGACGCGGAACTGAAACCCTTCCAGAGACCACCTTTCAGCCAAACAATAGACAGGCCCATAAAATAAACAAGAACACCTGAGAGGAATATGCTCCTTAGAACAATCAAATTATACACAGTCAAAAGGACAACATTTGCCGCAAACAAAAGGAATTCAGCACAGAGGAGTAACAGAACCAAAGAAAACATCAGCACCACAAAAAAAGCACTACAAAACGACAGCAATAAACCCACACTTATCAATCACAATGAATGTAAATGGCATAAATGCACCCATAAAGAGACAGAGAGTGACAGAATGGATTAAAAAACAGGATGCATCAATATGCTGTCTACAAAAGACACACCTTAGAAACAAAGTTGTAAATTTATTAAAAATCAAAGGAGGAAAAAAAAAATCAAGCAAACAGCTACCAAAACACAGCAGAAGTGGCAACACTAATCTCAGATAAAATAGACTTTAAAACAAAATTCATCATAAAAGACAAAGAAAGGCATTATATAATGATTAAAGGGACAATCCACCATGAAGACATAACCATAATAAATATCTATGCACCCAATGGCAGGGCTCCAAAATACATAAAACAAACTCCAACAGCACTGAAAAGAGAAATTGATAGTTCCACAATAATAGTAGGAGACTTCAACATACCACTCTCAGTAAAAGACAGAAGATCTAGAAAGAAACTCAACAAAGATACAAAAGATGTAAAGGCCACAATCAACCAATCTGACTTCATAGACATATATAAAACATTCCACCCAACAGCAGCAAAGTACACATTCTTTTCCAACACACATGGAACCTTCTCCAGAACAGACCACATCTTAGGCCACAAAGCAACCATCAACAAAATCCAAAACACTGAGAAGATACACAATATCTTCTCTCGCCACAATGTCATCAAAGTAGAAATTAACAACAGGAAGAGCAAGGGAAAAAAATTAAATACATGGAAACTGAATAACACCTTGCTTATTAACCACTGGGTAATAGAAGAAAGCAGTGATGAAATTTAAAAATTCC